TTATGCTCCCGATAAATTCTTTGGCCAACTATAAGTTAGTTGTTAAATGTGCACGAAGTAAACTTTGCGATAACAACTAAATTCAAGACACATCGAATGCTAAGTGACTGAGAGAAAGAGAGAGAAGGGGATATAAACATGGGAGAGAATTTTCTCTTAGAATTTATCATTATACATTGTAATCATGCACAAACAATGAGTTCGAATAAGTATTTATTTCAATACTGCCAAATAAATTATTTATTTGGAACTAATAATATTGATTCGATATGAAAAATATTTATTTGATATGAGAAAATCCTTTTCAAAACAAATAAATATTTATTTGTTTCAAATAAATGATTTATTAAATATTTATTTGTTTCAAATAAATGATTTATTAGGTAGTATTGAAATAAATATTTATTAATTTAATTTTTTTCAGAAACAATATGGAATTATTAAAAGAATTTTATAAGAGTTTCTCTGATTAAATATTTACCACGATAAAAAATATTAATTAGTATGTATATGGTATAGTAAAATTAATCAAACATATTTTATATCTTATTAATATTTTTGTTGTGGTAAATATTAATCAGAGAAACTCTTATAAAATTCTTCCATTATCATATTGTCCCACGATTTTCAGGGTAAATTCTAAGAGAAAATTCTCTCTGCGTATTATATATAAAATAACAATACATTTCATTGATCAAACGAAACAAACTATGTACGGAAACATAACGTCATATGATCGATATGTTTTATCTATGTAAGCTCTTGATTCAATGAAACGATAATAAGAAATATTTATAATATAAAGTAATCATATGAGTATGTAGGAAACACTTGCAGTCATCAAATACAAGTGCACTGATCACTCAAATGATTATACAGAGCTGATGATTATTAAAGAGCAAGTCAGGATGATATTTTGCGCGTTTTGCGAAATTTCGTGTTAAATATAACTCGTATACAATAATTATAAATTTTAAACATTAACCGCGAAACCGTATATAAAACATCGCAATATTTAAATTTAAAATTAAGATAAAAAAATTTCGAAAAAATAATTATCTAAGACCCTCAAATCCAAGAATGATATTTTCTTTCGCTTAATTTTAAATTGTTTTATTAAGAAAAAAATAATTCGCGAACAAAGGATCTAATATAGAAAAAAATGTGTTGTATCGCAAAACATTCTCTTATTAGGGCTTCGAGATCGGACACGGATACGAAGGGAACAAGGAAACTTGTGTGTTCCGAAAGATCGCGCAGCTGTTTCCGCGACCCATTTAAACGTCGCCGGAAAGAAAAAAAAACAGATTCCTATCGTCGGAATGTTTTGTCCGCGTATGGCAAAGCTGACAACGCGACGCAGAGGAGAAAGAGAGAGATTTTTACGAGAAATTCTCCTGTACAGTTAATCGGCCGGCGCGTGTCGTCCACCTCCTTAATGCGTTTAAACGGTACTGCTAATTGGTCCTCTTCCCGAACTCCATCAATTTCGATGGCCGAGCCAGAAACTGAACGCACAAAATTCGAATGAAACTCGGGGATGTCTTGAGTTTTGCATAAGAGATTTGTATATTTATAATAAATACAAATCTATATATATATAGACTTTTATGTACACAGAGAGAATTTTCTCTTGGAATTTACCCGGAAAATTAAGGTAATCGTGGGACAATATGGTATTGGAAGAATTTTATAAGAGTTGCTCTGATTAATATTTACACCATAATAAAAAACATTAATATCTACCACAATTAGATATAAAATATGTTTGATTCATTTTATTGTGTACATATTATAATAATATTTTTTATTTACGGTATTATATCAGAAGAACTCATAAAATTCTTCCAATACCATATTGTCCCACGATTACCTTAATTTTCCGGGTAAATTCCAAGAGAAAATTCATATTATCCCACGATTATATACCATGATTTTCAAGGGTAAATTCTAAGAGAAAATTCTCTGCGTAAGAACGAGAAGAACATAGAGTTTCCCACGTTTCCACAACGGTAAATATTTCTAGTATGCACTCGAATCTAATACCATAACGAATCATATCGCACGTAATAGCTTTTTAATTACATATCTTTTAGTTTAAGGATTGAAATAAATTCGCGGTAAAGAATAATAGTCTGTAAATAAGGAATTTTGTTGCCTATATCTGATATAAAGTGTGACTATTCTAATGATATTCATTTTTAATGAAACATACACCTTGCTCAAATTTATTTTAATATTAAATAAATTAATATTAATATCCTGAAAAAAAATGTACTGAATTCGGATAAATATTTATTTCAATATTGCCTTATAAATTTATTTGAACCTAATAATATTAATTTGACGTAAAAACATGTTTATTTGATATAAGAAAATCCTTTTCAAAACAGAGAAATATTTATTTCTTTCGAATAAATGATTTATAAGACGGTATTGAAATAAATATTTATTAATTTTATTTAATATTAATATAAAATTAATTATAAATAATTAATATAAAACTATCTTAGAGCAGAAACAATATATTACTTCAAGACAAAAACGATTAATGTGATTTACATTTTATTTATATCTGTGTGTCTGATTGATATTTTGTTTTTAAAAATTTCGAATCACTTGAATTTCTATTTTTTTGAAATACTTCAAAAATTATTTTCTCTTATCATAAATTCTGTAATAAGTGATTTCCGAAACGAAGAGATAAGGAAGAAACGAGAAAGGATAAAATCGAAGAATGACTCTTCTGTGTTCTTTCCCGATATATCACTTCCTTCCGCTTCGAAATCACAGAACTTTTGTCGTCGCAGTGTCATATTTGAAACCGGAAACCCAAGAGCTTTGTTCTGTGAAACGTGAAGAAACAACGCGAAACGAATGGTTCGACGAATAGATTTTTCGCCGATGTCGCGAGGCGAAACCATCTCGGTTTTAACCGCGGCGGGGTTTTCGGACCGCGTTTCCGGAACAGGGCACCGCGGATCTCTAAAATTAGAGGCGTTACGAAAAATAAGCCGCTCTCGGAGCGTTTCATATCTCAGGAACGCGTAAGCTTTAATATTGGCGCGCGCGCGTAATTCCATTATCAGCATCGCTTATCTAATACCTGACTCGACGCCAACGCGGAGTAGAAAAAGGAAAGATAACGAAAAAGAGAAGGAAAAAAAATATACGAATACGAAAATTACGATTCTCGCGGGCGTGACTCATTGCTCGATTATTTTTATCATAAAGTCTGAAAATACAATCCGAAGGGCTGCGGCCGATATTATTACTAGAGAGAAAGACAGAGAGAGAGGCAGATAAGTGAGCCTTGAGCCCATGCCAAAGATGAAGAAAACATTTGCGAACACATACTCGCGAGAATGCTCCGATTTGTCAGTATCTAATGACGCTACGTCGAAAACGCGAGCAAAAACTGTTGAAAGATTCAGCAAAAAAAGATTTACGCTCGTCGTAACATTTTTATAAGAACAGAAAGATTCGTTGTCTCCTCTATTTTTGTCTAAGTGTTTGATATTTCTTGCTAAATATCTCTGATGATACTACGTTTCAAATATATTTAAAGGGTTTTTAATATCGTCAGCTTTTTTTTAAATTTACTCAAATCTAGAATTTGTCGTCGATTCTTCAGGATATTAGTATTCGAAATATCTTTCATTTTTTATGAGATGTTCAGAATGTAATTTGATCGCATAAAAACATAATTTGTGTATACTACGCGCATTTATATAATTAATTAAATTATGAAGTATAGATTATATTCTGTGTTTCAATTTGTATTTTTTAGAATTCAATTACAATTCATCATCCGAAAATCTGTCTTTCTTTCACTGACAATTAATCAATTAATTAACAATATTCTCTATGTAATTTAATAATGATAATTTTTTTTAGTCAAAGAGAAACCCATGAAAAAATGCTATTCATATAATTTATAAATGTTCATAAAGAGAAGTTAAAGGGTTATAAGGGGCAATGTAATTTTTCAAGTTAAATCAACGTTACTACTACAATGATTACACAAGAACGCGTACTTTTGCGTTACTACAATATGTCAATATCTGATAAGATTACCACAATCTCTAAGAAAACTGATATAAACTTCAATCTTTAGTCAACGCTGCTAGGTTCTCAGCCTCAAATTTTTTTTTTTACTGAACGAACATAGTATATGTAATATGTACCTACATTTGCTTCTTGTTTTTATTAGTTATTTATTTTTCTAGCTGCACGTTTTACACTCGTATTTTTTTTTGTTTTTTTCTTTAATAGTTTTCAGTATCACAAATATCAAGAAAATCCAACACACACCGTATCTTTTCTTCTAATGTATTTATGTTAAATTATAAATTATATAAGAGAGAGAGAAAAGGAAAATAATTTTTAAAAAATATTATCATACCTTTTTCACTCTTTTACAATAGATTTACATACTAACTACAGATTTGATGCACGTCATGAAGAAAGAAAATAACTCGATGGTCGCTGTCTCTGAGAGACAGGTGTACAAAACCAATAGAAACTTCATCTTTACATGTCTATACATAGGTATACAGTTTGCTCTTTAAGCGGAATAAATATAAAAAGACTCGAAAAAATAAAAGAATTCAAAAATCGAGAATGTCATTAAATCTTCCTTAGGAATAAAAAAAAAGGCGAAAATAATTTTTCATTTATCGTAATATTTATCAATATCATAAACCTCCCCTGATAACGGTTGTTGGATAAGAATCTCTGGCGAAATATGATAAAATGCAAAATAATAAAAAAAAAAAAAAAAAAAAAATTCGCCGAGTTCGAGAAAAAAAAAGAAATTTCGTTTTAGTTCAGAAACCTGGCACCTGGCCAGGCCCATTTTTCGGGGCCCAAAAAATGCTCGCGTGCTCGCGAGTCTCAAGGTAGTGCAAAAAGAAGACCGAAAGACGACGACGACGACGACGAAGCAGAAGAAAGAAGAAAAAGGGAAAAAATCTCGAACTATGATAACACTCGCTCACCTTTTTCTGCTGTTTCTCCCAGGCGGGGTCTAAGAGACCCTCCCTCTCCCATTCCTCCTCCGGTGCCATATATCCGTCCCCGTAGGCTTCCATGTCGTTCATCCTCTCGCTTGTATGCGTGTCTCACGTTCCTTTAAACGCAACGTCAGAAGAAAAAAAAAAAAAAAAAAAAAAAAGAAAGAAAAATAATGTGCTGTCACACTCGTTACAACGCTCGCTCCGTTACAACGGGAAAGATTACAGAGAGCTAAACAGAGAGAAAGGAGGGCTTTTCGGAGCAGTCGATCGAAGATCGATAAGTATGTACTTTTTAATGACAGCGACGCGTGTAATTGGGAGAAAGAGGGGAAATTAAATAAAAAGAGAGAGAGGTAGGATGGGAAAAACGAAATCAAAGGAGACAACCAGTGTAGATGACTAAGGGACAGATTAAGGGGATTAAGAGAGAGAGAGAGAGAGAAAGGGAGAAGTGCAGCGAGAGACCCAACGTGAAAACGTACCCGCTAAGCCCAGAAAACGTTCGGTTTCGTGTCGTTCTTTCCCTCGCGCTGACCCCTCTGCCACAAAAGTCTGACATACACGATTTGCTCGCCGGCGTACAACCTTCCCCCTTCCCTTCCCCCTAGGGGACGAGGGTCTCATTCGCTCTCCTCTCCATTTCTCATCGGAGAAGGGAGAGCGAGACCCCCTTCCACCGATTCCCTTCTAAATTCTCCCTATTGCTCTCTCTGTTCCTCTTCAAGCGAACGTTTCGACAAAGCGAGAACATTGACTTTTTTTCTTGAAAAATAATAAATGTCAACAACTGTCAAAAAGTGACAGCTCGCGGCTGGGTCGCGTCGAAAGTGTCTTATCGCGCGCCGATCGTAATATAATTCAAACCGACAACGTTAATATGCATTACGCAGCTGTCGGGGAGAAGATAAGAGAGTTTACGGATCGCTACATACGCAATAGCAGCAGCAGCAGCAGCAGCAGCCGGGCTCATCGGCCGAAACTAACCTCCGTCCTTCTTACTCCCTCGCTCTCGCGCGCGTACTCACGTACGCCGGACTCCGTAAGTTGGAGTAAGCGAGGGACGCAGGGTTGCGCGATAAAAATAGCGTCGAAGACTTATGTACGCGCCCGCGGACACCTCATTCACCCACACACGCGACTAAAATAGGCGCGACGCGCGAGCGATCCGCGCGAAATTCCCGAATCGATCGGGGCGACGCCATTCCGCGGAGCGAGACTCGCGAGCAGTGCAGAAACCATAGATCCATCGGACATCCAGAGGGGAAACGGAATTCGCCAATCGATTCTGTGGATGATCTAGAGGGGAAACTCAATGTTGAAAAATGATTTTGCGCGAATGAAAAAAAAAAGCGGTATTTTTTGAAAAGGATTTCTTGTGCACGAAGAAATTTTCTTCGTCTTTCATTTATTTTTATATTCTCTCATTCTCTCTGTTTGCTCTTCAAATATAGATAAACTTGAATGTGTTATATATAGAAGCTTGTAGATAAATTTATATATTATAATTTATAATAAATATATATCTAGAATTATATATTAAATATATATCTAAATGTATATTTATAAAATATATATATATATATATATATATAATCTATACGTATATCTATTAAATATATATATATATAATCTATACGTATATCTATTAAATATATATCAAATTTATCTACAATTTGTTTTTTTAATTCGTTTTTAAGATGCTGCTTGTACTAGAAATGTAAATCAGTATCGTAGAAATTAATTATTAGACCAAAATAATTATTGGACTATTCAAGACACATGACGTTTCTTCTTTCTTTTGAGCAATTGACAATTTAAATATAGTTAACAGATCGTATTAATAGAAGATACAGTTGTATCTTTTATTAAAAAAATCAATGTTGAACAGCAATAAGTGATATGATTGTGAGTGTAGTATTGATTGTCAATTATATAAATTATGTAGAATCATTAATCTGTATTTCACGAGCAATATTTCTCAATAATTTAAGATACCAAAAATGTCGAAAATAAAATATAAGAACGCTTTGTGCTAATTATATTTTGTTACAATATTCACATATATATACACTTATGCATATTATGAAAAAAAATATGTATGATGCGTAAAAGAAAAAGAAACGTTGAAGAGTATGGGAAATGCACAGATAAGAGAACAAATATATCTAAATACATAAAGTCTATAATTGCTCGTTCATACATTTGTTTATGTAAATATTTCGTGAAGAGGTATAAAAAGATAGTTTTGCATAAAAAATTTTTTTTTCTTAAAATCGAGATTAAAAAATATACAATTTAAAATACAATTATATCTTATACAAGATACAATTGCATTTTCTTCATTTTTGTGCATAATTTTTTGAATAATCTCTTAAAAATGTTTAAGGAAAATAAGAATAATTTATGATCTCTATCAAAAATTCTTCATGCTTAGAAAAAAAAGCAAAAACAAAATATATTACATTAGACTAACATTATGTCCGAGCAATTTATGGGCGTCGCTAAATCGTAAATATAAAACGTCAATGTCTCTTTTATTATATTTACACCATATGCACTATTTGCAACAACACTCTCGCAGTAGTTTTGCAAGCGACTCTGATTAGCGATATCTTGTATATCATAACAGAAAAAAGAAATCAAATTAATCCTTCGTTAGCATTAATCAATGTCGATGCAATTGGGGGGAATTATTTTATACAAACAGTTCGATCGCTATTCACTCGCGACTGATAAGAGAGAATAAAGAAAGAATACCCAGCTTAAAGGCCTAGACGACTGAATACGTCTGCTTTCTTGACATGTGTCATTTTCGTCTCCTTACTAAAAGTCACTTGTTTGGCAGTGGTCGTGCCAAGGCGTGCCTTAGCTGGTATAGAGATAAGTCGCTCCGAAGCTGTAACAATAAAATGATCAATTAAAGTAGCTGTTCATACATTTTTTATCATTATAATATAATTTCTGCAATATATATATATATACCTAATTTGCCAGATATAACTGCAGATTTGTTGATCCTTTCACTGCTTGGTGTAACATTAGGTAGTACTACATCTTTTTTCAATTTAAGTATACGGTTTTTGTTGTTCAAAGTAATCTTTTTGTTGGCTTCATGATCAGCATGCATAGTACCAGTTGTTTTGGGTATAATTCTCTTGGTCGTTACAATCGTTGTACGTACAGTAGGTGATATCCGATTCTTCAATATACCTGTTGAATTAGTGATTCCTGATCCATTTTTAAGTATTCCTGCAGTAGCTACATGATCTCTTTTATCATCTATGTCACCAAGACGTTTGAATACACTAGTTGATCTTTTGAATACATCTTTGCTGACACCAGTAATGTTGAAAGTAGTTGCTGTATCAGCTAAATTGGTTGTGCTAGTAACAGAACTGTCACCTAATCTGTCAAATACTGTTCGCTTTTGTTCGACAGATTTTTTAAGTACTGGAGTTCTTACACTTGATGATTTTGGAACAGTTATGGTATAGTCAATGCTGTTATCCTTGCCATTTGTTGCCTTGGCTTTCTTTTCTACGATATCCCAATCGTCATTGTCATCTTCATATATTTCATCTGACACTAATTTTCTTTTGATAGGAGTTTTGATAGCGGTAGTTTGTTTTTGATTAATAGTATTCGATACAGAAATTGGTTTCTTTACAGTTACAATTTTTTTTGTTGTCGTAGATAGAGGTTTAATTATCTTTTTTGTAAGATCTGTTTTTGAAGCTAATGAAACCGTCGTCTTACTTCCAGTATCTTTTACTACTTTCTTTACAACAGGTTGTTTCATCAACAGGTTACAAGAAGTAACTTTAGGAGTTGAAATTACATCTTCTGAATCGACTAAAAATCTCTCGCATGTTGTTTCTTCCACAACTTTCTTGGCATATCTCAAAATAGCTATCATGTCACCCATTAACGTAATACCCATTTCTTTCAGACTAGGTTTATCTAAATCTGGTAACATGTCTGGTTTAATACGATTATTGGAGAATACGACTGCATGTTTAGTGGCTACATCTTGTGGAAATCCAGCTCCTTTAAAAAACTTCACCCAATAAGCTATAAAAAAATCTAAGCTATAATATAATCACGATATATGAAATCACAAAATAGCTATAAATTTATACACAAACGTTGTTATAAAACGCTAAGGACATAAGTTAAAAGTAATTTATACAAATCATCAGATTATTCAAAATAAATAGTACAAACGTAACCAAGTTATTTATAATATTTATTTGTCTTTCAAAACAGCATAGACAAATAATTTTGAAGATATATTCAGATGCAAAATTGTTATAAAACATGTTTACAATTCTCACCTGACAAGGATGCAGCCATTTTGACAATTGAAGTGTATGAAAAATCTTATCCTATACCTTCGGCGAACAATTAATCGCAGAACCGTATTTTAATAAGATTATATCTCCCGTTTCTTGTGCATGTTTCGAGAGAGCCGCTACGATTAATCTCCAAATCGAAACCGTAGGAAGCAATCGTTGGATGTAAAAGAAATTTACAAAAAGCTTCGTCGACGGTTCCTAATCGTACCGGCTAATTGCGATAAGTTTCTGGATTCGTACTTCACACAACGTCGTGGAAAATTATTAATAAACACAAAGATCCCATTTCTGAAGCTCCATCATACCTTCATATACATACGCGTATACATATGTATATACGTGTATTTTTAAGGTATACGCATATATGTATATGAACGCGAATCCACACAAGTTTATGAACGAATTTCACCGAACGATGAACGTAAACGGAAATGTTCGGAGGTTCTTGGGAGAATGACAAGTAGCCAATCACCTTTCGCGATGCGTTATTAATTCCGCTGAAGCGCGACGTTGATTAGCTGTCACTTGTCACACATGACATCTAGATATATTCATACTTATAACTCGAAAAGTCATAGCCGACTTTTCTTCTCTATCGGTATTTCACACTCGTGTAAACGATCTCGAGCGGCTCGATCGAAATATAATACGAATCTTCCTTTGTTCCTAATGACAGTCATGAAGCAGAAATAATCTAGTCGCGATGCTTCGAGCCACTTGAGAAGTAACCACTTCGGCGCCAATCAGAATGTAGGGAGCGGAGATTCCTTCGCTCTGATTCGCGGCCGATTGAAAAACGTATGACGGAAATGCGTAATCTGCAGTTGCTCGACGACTCGCGTATTGACAGCCGGGCGGGCGTCACTTCCGGGAGGAGGACCACGGATTCGCGAAATTCGGCCATTTTGCTTAGCTCGTCGTCGACGTTCTTCGCGCAACCGAATCGTCTTCGCGTCTTAATCTCTCGATCAGTGCTCGAGTCGTTCTATGCTAGAGCGCTCGTTCTCTGTACGTTCTTAGCTTGTAAATAATAAGTAGCTCAGTCCCGAGCGCTTTTTCGTACATACGCATACAATATATGTATTTATCTTTCTGTCTTCTCGTCGGAACAGCGTGAAAAAGTCTGGTCTGCTAATGCGTGGCGTTTCAGAGAGCTCTCCGACTCGTGCAATGGCGGAGGATTTGGATGTCGAGGCGATGCTGGAGGCCCCTTATAAGAAAGGGGTAAGCTTTGATTTTTCGACAATTTCGTTTCCCACCCTCTAATCTCTGTCTGTCATTTTCTCTTTCTCTCTTTCCGATCATTCTGTCTCGCCGTCTCATTCTCGTCTCACGTTTGTGAATCGCATTGTCTGATGCACGAGACGTGCTTTTTATCCTTTTTTTATCTTTTTTTTTATTTATTTATTTTTTTTTTTTTTTTTTATAAATCTTTTTATATACACGCACTTGTCGTCATGTAGGAGAGAAAGAGAATCGACTTCTGTTCCCTTCTATCCTCCCCCCTGCCCCCTATCTCACTCACTCATTCTATTTTTTACTCTTTCTCTCTTTGTGATATATGGATAGTTTTATATACTTGTATATATGTGTAGACAAAGTACGCCCTTGTCTCTCTGATGTGTCAAATATTGATCAACACCTCCGTTTTCTGTACTTATAGATGGTACGTAACATGTACCCTCGCGCTCGTAGGATGTTCGCCAGCGAGTACCTAGAATGCACTTGAAAGACGAGGTATTAAGATATAGCAATCATCTAACATCATTCTCTACTTAATTCTTTATTTTTCTGTCTCTTCTGTCTCTAGTCTCCGTTTTCTTTTTGATTTTTTAATGTTTTTTTTTTTTTTTTTATTTTATTTAATCTCACAAAGACGTTTTTAACGTTTTTATAATATATTAGAATGTAGATCATGCAACGTTATCATGACGTTGCATACTGGAGGCAGTTCTTGACAGTGATAATTTGTTGGAAAGTTTTGTGCTGTTTGTACATGTGATGACATTAGTACCCTTAGACAGGAATCACACAGAAGTCTTGGCTTATTTGAATGTGAAGAACTGAGTGAATGTGAGTGAGTATGTGTCTGAATTTAAAAGAATGCTTGAGAATTTACCAAATTGTATAATTGAGGGATTCCTAGGATTTCTGAATTTTGGCATTTACGAATTTAAAGATAGGCAGACCCAAGTATTGTTTAGAGGTTTATGAATTTGTGACTTGAAGGATTTCGACATTGATTCAAAGTCAAGTTGTTTATGTGCAAAAATCAATACAGTTGCAATTTTTGTACATATTGGATAAATCAAATCTTCTTGCGTTGCATTTAACGATACGAAACAATATTTCTCTGCAATACTACTTCACTTAAATTGCTTAATAATCACTTGTTTTACTTAGATAAAAAGGCAATCTTATTTATAAGATATAAAGAAAATACTTTACACTAATACAATAACACTCTGAACACTAATACTCTATTTGTATTCTTCTTCTTTTTCTCGCTTCAAGGATGAACCTGAAGAAAGTAATATATATATAATTTTTATTCACTTCAAACTTACAATCAAAAAGCGGGACTTGGTTTACAATACTTTCTTATCCTCATTCGTATTACACTTAGTCATTCTTCTTCTTATGCTCTACTTTTACTGTCTAACCTACCTATGACCAAACCTACTATCTTATATCTTATATTTTATATATTAATATTCATATTCATATTTTGTATCACAGCCTAATTACATTCCTATCCTAAAACTTCCTTGGCTTTCCGGTAACAATTTTCTCCTCTCTACGTCTTCAAGACCTGTGTGTAAATTTAAATAATAAGCTGTGCATAGTAATGATATAATTTTCTCTGTAATTTTCAGTCTTCTTGTAATCACCTTTTTTGTATATCGGAACCACCACACTTGTGTTCCAATCTTCTGGCATAATTCCGTTCTTCCATATCTTTAAAACTTCTGTTAAACCATATTTTTTATAGTATACCTCTGAATCTTCATGCTTCCATGGGTATTTTTATCTATTTCTGCTGCTTTTTTTTTAACTTTAAACTTTTTACTGCATTCCATATTTTCTCTTCCTCTAATTTCTTTTTTTCCTTGTCCTGACTTATCACCTTTCTCATCCTTTTTTTCTTTCCTTTCTTCTCCATCCTCTTCCTCTTTCCCTTCATCTAATAATTCCTTAAAATGTTTCCTCCAATCTTCTTTACCTATGTTATTTTCTACCCATGTCTTGGTTCCTCTTTTTTTATTTATATATTTTCACACTTCTGTCTTGTTCCTCAAGGATTTTAATTCCTCTTCTTTTTTTCTCTTTTCCAGTAGTTCTCTTAACTTTTTTTTCCTCTATATATTTTTCTTTTTCAATCTTTCCTTTTTTTATTTTTTCAGAGCTCTATGTACTTTCCGCTTTCTTTTGGTACACTGTTTATCCCACCAGTCTTTGTGTCCTAATTCTTTTTTCTTCGCCTTCCTTTCTTCCTTTATTATTGATTCCATGACTATCTTTTTTAATCTTTGCCATGTTTCTTCTATAGAATGCTACATCCCACTTTATATTTTTCCCTGCTTTTGCTATCTTCTTCCTTATACTACCTCCAATGCTTTCGATTCTTGATGTCTCCTGTCTTCCTATACTTCACAAACTGAATTATTTATCTGCTTCTACAAACTCTATCCTAATAATACTTTTCTTAACGACACACGTACTCTCACTCATACGTTTTCTAACCAAGTCCCTGAAGGAAGTAATATTTATAAAAGATGACAAATCTTACAACTTCTTATTTTCTCTAAAATTATAAATATATTCTTATTTTTTTAACCACGTTTTATTTGATGGATTCTTTATCATTTGTTTCATTTTTATATAATTATTACATTATATAATAATACGTGAGTTTGCCGATTTTTAAATATAATTATTAAAATATTATTTGCGATATTCTGGTTTTTGTTCGTATATGTTATCTGTTTATCCTTATATTATTTATTGTTTGAATACTTTTCTCAATTTATACTGAAACATGATTCTTAGTTTTTATTATATCAAAGCTATAAAATGCATCTGTCAAATGTCCAATCATCAAAATGCTAAAGTTCTCTAGTGTGCTTTTATGGAACCTCAAAATGTTTTACTTATATAATGGTTCGCGTGAGCGAGCTCATTTTACAAAATATTTAAATACCCCGTTCACTGTTTTTTTGTACAATTTGTAATGATAGCAATTTGCCTTCTAGGTAATGCCATCGATCAGGTATCACAACACTTATTTGCGGTGCGACAGAAGACACGTCAGGCTTCCGAAATTCATACGTTGATTTCAGCAATGCTTGTGTATTCTGTAAAAAGTCGGCATTCTTGAGTTGTTTATAAAATGCCTATTCATCTTGTTGACTTGCCACTATACAACATATACTTGTGCGTTCATAGAGCTATAATCTTATCAAAAAATATTTAAAAAAAGAGTACAACATCAAGTATTCAAGTTATGCACACGATAATTTTTTTCCTAATAATTATATAATTCTTTTTATGTAAATATAATTAATTATACGTATCAAAAAATGCTTCTTTAAGAAACTGAATAGGAACTTTATAAGCAACTCATATTACATTTCGTATTTATATACACAGCCACATGAAAGTACAAACTGGTACAAAAGTAAACTGGTCAGCAAATTGTGTGGAAAAAAAGTTATAATGAAATTTAAAATGTTGCTCAAGAAAATGTTGCTTTTATATTCTCGATAACAATAATTCATTTAGCTTAATCAAAGTTAACGTCAGTTGAAAAAAAGTTTATCTTCCAAGTAATAGGAAGAAATATTATAGTATACATTATTCAAATACAACGTCACCATGTTACATAATGGCTGTGTTCAGCAGAAAAAGCAGTTTTGCAATTGTTGTAAAATTTATGAATCTGATTGGTGTATGCTCTTGATCTCAGCTGAATCTAATTTACAAAAGTTGTAAAGCAGCTTTTTCTGCTGAACTCAACCATTGCTAGAATAAAAGAAACATTTTCTGCGGACTCGGCCAGATCGGCGGATCTGCGCCGGTCCTGCACAAGTGCTTCCCGGAGGAAAGAGGAATTTTAATTTGACGAAAACGATCCCCTGATATTAACGAGAGACACCATCCCCTGTAAATCGGTAAAATGCGCGCGGGCAATCATAGGCAATCATAGCGATATTAGGGTTGCTCACTCGCGTCTCTCGCTTATGAAATCGTGCTGTCTTTGATGAGGGCTCTCTTTTGCAGAAGAAAAAGGATGTGTGGTTGGCCATTGGTAGTTTAAAGACCAAGGCATGCTCAACCCAAGATTGCAATGCTTTCCTAAAACCCGATAAAGCGATTGGTAAGTCTGAGCCAGGTGCATGCGACCGCGTCGCATCGCTATGCTCACCCCGTCTCTCTCTCTCTTTCTCTCTCTCTTTCTGTCTGTCTCTATCTCTATCACACATGCTCTCTCTCACGCTCGCTCTTTCTTTCTTCTCTTCTTGTACCTTTCCCTTCCTCAGCGCTCTCGGAGACCTATAAATAGAGTCCTGGAAAAGTAAAACGAACAAAAAAAAATAAAAATAAAAAGATGAGAAAGAGCACGAGAATTGACGCCGACGTCTGTTTCTGTCATCCAGCATAAATAATGAGAAAAAAAGCATTGCTCTTCCGCAGCAAGGAGAAAGGTTGCTACCGTAGTAATAATATCGACAGGATAAGAAAAAGAGATTCTCTTATTCCCAATTCTTGTCGAATTTGATACTTGTAGAGAACCCAAAGAAAAAGAGATAATCATTTAATTGTTATATTTGTATATATAATTTTATATAGCGAAAAAAAGAACAAAACCAACACTGTCTTTACGAAATTTACTAACGTTCTACGATTTGCTTTTTGTCCCCTTGTTCGCGCGTCCCTGCCACATCGACTGGCTGGCATGGCATTCAACTGTTTGCTGTTCGTAGGAGCAGGACTCCTCCAAAGACAAGTCCTCCAAGGAGAATGGGTCTAGTCGCAAATCCTCTGGGTGAGTAGAACATCCTTCAATTATTTACAATTAAGAATTAAATTAAGGAGAATGTAGATGAGAAGAGTTTCGAGACTCTTTAATTGCACGACCCTTGTATTTAACTTTGAAACTAAGCAAGATTATTATAGGTGACCTGTTAATTATCTAAAGCAGTCTTTTTTTTTGCCAAGACACAATTGTCGATACAATTGCCATCTCATCTCGCTTTTATCATTTTGTCAGATTTTGAGATTTTTTTCATTTGGGTCGCTTTTCAATTAAACGGTTTGTATCGATGACGTCTGAATTATGGCTTTAAATGTGATGCATTAATAATGAAGGGGTGATGTTGATAATATGATAACGGTTTGCATAGCGATTAAAAATTAGAGTCTTACTTGAATGTTCCAATTCAATTTTGATTGGACTTCAATCGTGAGAAAAGATTGCGATAATTTGGAAACTGTACAAGGTTTCATTTTCATTCAATTTTCTCTGCCAATCTTTTCACGCCTTTGTTAGGTAGTATAGAAATTAGCAAAATTGCTTTTTAAAAAAATCTGAGCAAAACTGTAATTCGAGTAAATGCACTATCAGTTTATGTATATAATACTGTCAATTTGAGTTATACTAAAGAGGAAAGTCTTTATTGTGTTATCTTGTGTTATCACTGCTGTGAGATTTCGCGATAAACGTAATGTCTTTGCGCCATAATTGAAGCAGCGTTAGCCACTGGCCACTTAATAGACCGATCTGAAGTTTTATTCTCTTTGTTATAGACCCCATACAATTAGTGTAAATGCTGCTTAATTTGATAATTCCAAAGGTTAAACCTGACGATGGTAAGTATATATATAGGAAGAATATATCTGTATTACAGATTCTTCTCGCGAACTCAAATTGCAAATTCCTTAATAATTTTTAAAGACAAGATTATATTGTATGTATAGAATCGCGTGGCGTTGCGTTATCTTAACACAACCGAGTCTTTAGGAAACTCGATATTTAAATACGAGAAAGTTTGATGACGCAACTTTGTTGTTTTTCTGTGGCTAAATTAGGTATTGCTAATAGAGAACTAAAAAATATTTTCAAGCGCTTTATTTTATTGTACCATATACCACGTTATCTATTTAAATTTTGTGCAAAAGAAAAATTATATAATTTAATCCAAGTACGCTAGTGATACTCTGCAACAACACGATGTGGAGATGTTAACATCTTTTTTATTCCTAATTATATATAATTAAATAATATATTATTCTATAAATTTTAGGGATCATCTTCCAAAATGTTTCAGACCTATCGTCAATATTCTTTTAGAAAATTTTATAAAGTTTATCATTCATTTTCTCATCTTTTGAATATTTAATCAAGCTTGGCTCAAATATTGAGATCTTAACTTTGATGTTCTTTTTAGTTTGACGTTTAATATAAGCTAATATGTCAGGATACATCCTGGCATATATATCTGCAATAACGATTATACATGGATTCCTTGTGTCTTCACTTTGGTTCTAAAGGTTTATTGAATTGAACAACTTTTTATTCGATCCCCTTAATTTTGAGCGAACCTTTTTAATTGAAGTACTTTTCTTTTTCTAGGAAAAGCAAACATCGTTCGCGTTCTCGTTCACGATCCCGAGATCGCGACCGTCGGGAGAAGGACAAAGATCGACGGGATCGCGATCGGACTGAGAGGGAACGCGATCGGGGAGAGAGGGATCGCGATCGCGACCGTGATCGTCGACGCAGATCGCGATCACGAGACAGGCGGGACCGGGACCGAGATCGTGATGATAGGGACAGGGAGAGACGAGACAGAGACAGGGATCGGGACAGAAGAAGAAAGAGATCGCTAACGCCGCTCACTCTTCCTAGAGCTCGACCACCGTTCGGAAAAGGTCATAGTCCTCTTGGAATGTAAGTGTATTGTATTTAAATCGAAATACTTATACAAGGTGTTTCTAAACCTGTCAGAGATTTAAAATTTGAATAAGGAAATGTGTTTTGTGCTATTTACAACGCATATCGTAGGTCACTAACACGCTTGAATTTTTTATCTTTTATTGACCTGTTTTGTCTCTAGACTTTTTACAAACGAGCCAGATCGCGCGTATTTAATTTTAAATAATTTTATAATGGCGTGGAATTATGAAATGGTGAAGAACGTTATTACTGTAAAATATTTATTTTCGTTTCGCAATTTGCATTGATATACAATGATTATATCGTGGATTCCAAATAAAGATATCTCGATATGCATAATTGACTAGACCCAATCATGGAACTTGCAATCTATGATTTTGGGGGATATATTTATGCTAAATTAATTTGGATATATAAGATTCGCTTATTTTGTTACTATTGCGCATATATTATAGTAACAGAAATTAATATTCAACAACATTAAACTTATAAATCAGAATTTTTCTTAAATACACATGTTTTCTTTTTTATATCTACTGATAGTAATAATTTGTTTTTTTTTCAGAAATGATGAATTAACGCCGGAAGAACGAGATGCCAGAACTGTTTTTTGTATGCAATTGAGCCAACGAATTCGTGCACGTGATTTAGAAGAATTCTTCTCGAGTGTTGGCAAAGTACAAGATGTTAGATTAATTACATGCAACAAAACTCGAAGATTTAAGGGCATCGCTTACGTCGAATTCAAAGATCCAGAAAGTGTGACGCTTGTGAGTATATATATTTATTACAATTGGACAACATTTACTTTGAGCTCATTTTCTAGGCCTTAAAAAAAACCTTTAAAACGCACCCAGGCGGGATACCCTGCTACTTAATTTTCACGAAAAATGTTAAAACTTTGAATTAAAAAATTAAGGCCTCTGTAAGTCCTAGAACATTCGCTGTGGTCGTTTTGTTGGTTTTCAAAAGAGCTTTCGTTATCAATTAATTTCATAATATATTACTCAAATTTAAATACTTATATGTTATTTAAAACACAATTATTATTTTAATTTTTAAATTTTATTATTTTAAAATTTAATTAGCAAATTAATGCTTTAATCAGCTGCTTTCTGTCAAAAGAGATTAATGGAGTTTAAGTAAACTTTATTTATTATTTTTTTTAATATCAAATTTTTAAATATAAAATTACGGAATAGCGCGCTTGTGTTTTTCTAATATTATACAATTAACTAGTCAAATAAATATTTTTCAAAATAATTTTTGAACTTCTGTTTCTAAGCGAACTTTTATGAAAGAAAATAACTGAGAAAATATGTTATTTACCTTCAAATTGCATTTTGCAGGCTCTTGGTCTGTCAGGACAAAAGCTACTTGGAGTACCTATTGTAGTACAGCATACACAAGCTGAGAAGAATCGCATGGGCAATTCTATGCCAAATCTAATGCCTAAAGGACAAACGGGACCAATGCGATTATACGTGGGATCTCTGCACTTTAATATTACGGAAGATATGCTTCGCGGAATTTTTGAGCCTTTCGGAAAGATCGATAACATACAGTTAATTATGGATCCTGAGACTGGACGGAGCAAGGGTTATGGTTTCTTGACGGTAAGTTTGTCTTATAGTCTTATCTATTATGCAGTTTTTTTTTAATATATACGAAGTTATTTCTTTATATAATAATTTAATTTGTCTTTTGTATAACTGTTTGTGTTTTAAGTTTTTTTTCTTAAATATATCTGCATAAAACTCAAAATCTTTGTTACATTTTTAGTTCAGAAATGCAGATGATGCAAAGAAAGCTTTAGAACAACTAAATGGATTCGAGCTCGCTGGTAGACCTATGAAAGTTGGTAATGTAACAGAACGAACTGATTTGATTCAGGGACCTTCTCTTCTTGATACAGATGAATTAGATCGTAGCGGTATTGATCTCGGTGCGACTGGAAGGTACGTAAAGTATGATAAAAGAGAAAAGACAAAAAGAACATATAAATATAAGAAGTATATACATGATTAGATAAGAAGTGGACACATGATTAAAATATTTGCACAATTTAATTCTTGCAGATTACAGCTGATGTTCAAATTGGCGGAAGGTACTGGTTTGGAAATTCCTCCTGCTGCAGCAAACGCTTTAAATATGGCTCCAGTCATGACACAGCCACAGCCTCCACCTCAGGCAGCCCCTCCAATCGCAACACAGTGCTTTATGTTATCGAACATGTTCGACCCACAAAAGTAAGTCGCTCGGATTTTCTCGTATCGCATGCATGAATTTACTTCATAAATTGCATATTTGTAGACCTAGTGTCGTGTATGCCATACTTTCACTAGGGGGAATATATATGCAAAATAAAAATATTATCACAAATTTAAGCATATATACAAACAGTAGTATGCAAAGCAATGATAATATGACAAGCTTTTATTCTGAAAACATTTTTTGAAATAATCATTAATCTATTTTATTAAATATTATATGTAAAGTCAAAACACACATAATCAGGGTGTATACTTTGGGGAAAAACTTTGAAAATCTAATATTCTTATTTTTGTTTTACCTTGAAAATCAGAGAATTTTCATTGAATTTGATTGTGATTCGGGAATTTTTTAAAAAATATTGTCCCTTTAATTTTACTCTTATTTAGCACTTAAAAAATATATGTCTAATATATCTTTGCAATATTTAAGTTTTTATTAAAATTTTATGTAATTTTTTTGTTGACAATTATTTTAGTATCAAGATCTTATATAAGTTTCATAATTTTTACAAAATTTGAATAGACACTGATAAGTGTTGCTAATACTAAAATTATACTCAATGCAAAAGGTTTCCGGATGGATGCCTTTTGCATTGATGATTCCAATGGTCGCGAAAGCCTCAAAACTAGAATAAAACTATACTTTTTCCAAAAATAATTCACATTTATAATCGTTATATCTATTGATTTCAGTGAGACGAATCCTAATTGGGCAAAGGAAATCCGCGACGATGTAATCGAGGAATGCAATAAGCATGGTGGTGTGCTTCATGTATACGTGGACCAAGCGTCACCGCAGGGAAACGTTTATGTTAAGTGTCCGTCGATTGCAACCGCTGTGGCGGCCGTAAATTCGCTGCATGGTCGATGGTTCGCAGGTCGCGTCATAACTGCTGCCTATGTGCCAGTAGTGAATTATCACTCTTTGTTCCCGGACGCGATGACTGCGTTGCAACTGTTGGTGCCGAGCGCGCCGCGAAGAGGAATGTGATAATCTTAAAATGAGCAAGCGTGCAACAATCGTCGTCCACTGATATGTGAATCCTTACATACAATAGTATTGCGTTCTATTCTCTATCACACTCACACACAACACACATACATATACACATGACACTCATTTCATCGCTATCGTGCAGGACTGCATTTTTTATTGACAAGAAAAAAAAAAAGCAATCTTCAAGAATGAGTTCGAATTTCAAGAGTGAGGATTGCACTGAGAAAATATTGTATCACAATGATGTAAATTCACAGCATATCTTAAACGCAATAAGTTCGAATTATCTCACAGTATCATGCATTGTTCATATGAATCGAATTTTTTGATCAAAATATGATCAAAATTTTATTATCGAAAAATGTATGAGGTCTTTTGTGTTTAACATTTAACATTCTGGCTATTTAAAACTACATGAATTGATAGATTAGAGAATTTATCGATTATAAAATAAATATTTTTTTCATATTATATATTTGCGTTCATAATTTTTTATTTTTCATATATGAAAGATATTAAATGTTTTGAAATTTTCTTGGCAATATTGTAATAAATAATATATTTTTAATTACAAAAATTGTCATGAAAAGAGTATATACAATATCGAAAATGGTTTTTTAATTTCACATATACAAATATGTCCTAGTGATAAAATAACAATTCAAAAGTAGAAGGCATGAAAGAAAGGTTTATAATATATTCAAAATGTTATCAATTATAATAAAATGTGCAGTTTTTGTTTCTGTATATGAAGACAATCGTATTTTTGTGTTTCTTCTAAAACTACAAAAAAGATTTATTGACATGAGATGAAGTTTTGTCTCACATGTAACAACATATTATGTTTCGCGTTTGATGTAGTATGATATTTTTAAACTTGTTTTCGTGTCAATATTCAATCATTTATTACTGTTCTGTTGGATGAGAAAACCTTAATTCTCTCATTTCTAATATATTTCTAATGCTAAAATTTGTATCTAAAATATGAGAAACACATCTAAGTATTAAAATAATAAAAGAACTTGTCAGTTGTATCGTCTAATTAATTTCAATTCCTTTTTAGTTTATATCTTCTTTAGATTGCAGCTGCGATTTAAGTAGGAAGAAAATTTATTTAATTAGAATATATTTTATTTTCATGTATTTAAAATTTTTTAAAATCTATAATGTAGCGCTTATTACAATACATTTATATTTGAGATGAAAGGATTAAGGTATGCTTGTAATGATTATATATAACAAAAAGATTTACAATAAATGAAAATTATCTTAAGTATGCATTAAATTTGTTACATTTATAAGGAAATTGAAGAGAAAAATTGTATGAGAAACAAAAAATCTACACATATTAAAAACCTTTCACTTTAATTACACTGATTCATGATAATATATATCATAAAATTTTACTCTTTATAAACACTAAAATGCAATTATAGAATTTTTAGTTATATGTAAGGACACTTATATACACCACTGTTATTATATAATAACAAAAATAATAAATAAAGTGGAATAATCTCGGTTTTGGAGTCGCAAAATTTTCTTGTTGCTGAAATGCTCTTGTATTAAAAGAGAATAAAAGGCTAATAAAATTATTGTGCATATGATAGACTTAAAATAATTGTTTAAAGAACAAAACAATTGTCAGGATTTGTAAGGATTTTACATTCTTCTTTGTGTTCGTATAATTATATATACTGTTAAATTTACTATAAACAATTGTGTTAAACTGCAACAGATTCTTAAAATAATTTTTTTTTTAATTTTTATCCTTCATTTTTGTTAAATAATGAGAAAACACTACAATATTTTTTACATATTAGAATCTCAGTTTGTATGGAGTATAATTTAAAAGGGCCGAATAATATAAAATCTTTATATATCTATATTGCAGTGTTTCATGTAAAATGATATGATTGCATATTTTCAAATATACGATAGAAAAGAAATATAGATAAAAAAAAATATTTCAATCATCATATACTATTTATGAAAAAGCAGCATTTTCTCGATTCTTTTCTAAGATATATCTTAGATTCTTTTCTAAGATATATCTTAGAAAAGAATCTGTTTATATATCAAACAATCTATAAGTATTTTCGGATTCAGATAGTCATAAATTATGAAGAATTTCTAATCGTTACATGTAGACTTTGATAAAGTGTCCATTGCGAAACGAGAAAAAAATCAATTTTTCGCTCTTACAGAATAAAAGATTCACTGAAAATATTTTGCGTAGTGACAGAAGTTCGTAGTTTAACAAAGTTTAAAATTCTTACTTATAGTCCTCTATGATCAAGCCGTCGAAGAAAGAAACAATTAATTTGTATATAAGTTTTTGTAAATTATAATTCTAAGTAGCGTTGTAGACACATAAGTAATGTCACTTTATTGTATCTTCGTATTAACAAAATATGAATGTATACTTTGATTATAAAGAAAATTATGCGTTTTATTACATTCCTAATGCATACATATATACATATATAAAATAAAATATTTGAAACCCATTCAAAAAAATATAAATTGCAATCATGTTATTAATATAACAGTTTACATTAAGTGGATCTCAAACATTTTATTTATTTTTTCCGAAAAAGAATTTATATAATTAATATATTTTATAATATATTATAATATATTATATATATTATAATATATTATTTTATAATATATTATATAATTTTTAAGTGAGTGGAAGTAAAAAAAAGACGAATAAATAATTCAGTTAAATAGACTTATATATCAAAAATTAGGAAATAGCGACATATCGATTATAAATAAGTTTCAATAATAGCGCTAGAAATTTTACATTTGATACAATTTTTACGTTTGAAAGCTATAAATTCATATATATAATATATATTTCATACGTAAATGCAGTCCGATTTAATCCAACAATAAGTGAGGATATTGTACTAGGCACAGTGTCATGTGTTAAATAATTTCAATATATCTATATATTTATTATCCTTTCAATTTCAAATCCGCGCACAAGGATATATGATCACTAGGAAACACTACGGACGGCAAACCCGTATGAAGAGTAAGTTCCTCCTTACTAGGCATCGGGATTATTTGCTCAATTTCGAATTTATCTCTTTCATAGAATATGTAATCCAAGCAACCAGAAAACTCTGGCGTGTAGTTTGTATATTCTGGCGTGCCACAGGCACTGGACATGCAAAGATCCTGCATTAGAGATACATTTTTGATAGCTTCCGCAGGATCTAAAAAAGGAAGATTAAATTTGTACAATTGATTCGAGATTATGTAAACACATCGTATTCAAATTAACAAACAACGGAATTAAATTGATATGAAAAATCACTCACTACTATTCCAGTCTTCACAGGTTTCCGGAACGTAATTTTCAGTCATTAACTGATAAATACCGCATTCTGGCACGCTGTTAAAATCTCCGCAAAGTATTACGCTTACATTACATTCGGGATTCTGTCAACATATGCACGTTCGTTAATTACAAAATTATAAGATATAATATATATATAAATGAAACTTAAACATGCATTTAACAAAAGACTTGAATAATTTATGTGATTAGAACAATTTTCCCACATTATATTTTCTGTGGACATATAAATGTAAATAATTTTTATCGGAAAAAATATCTACCTCCTCTCGTATCTTTTTTGCCGCTTCGTGTACATATATAATCGCGTAATATCCTTGCAGCAAACGTATGTGATCCGCATCAGGTTTAAAGTATAAATGCGTATTACCGATAATCAAGATTTCAGATTGGTTCTCTTTAGATCGCAACGTCGTTACCTAAAATCATTAAATTTTATTTTTTCGATTAACACTAATATTATCAATAAGCAATCATGCACGAATTACCTGAATAGTTGTATTTCTACCAAGAAATCTCTCTTTCGCCTTGTCGTTGTCAATTTTGGACCAAATAGTGGCGAATCTCGGAAAATCAATATTTTGAGCCAATACACTGTACTCAAATCCTAATTTCTCGAACCTTTCCTGATTAAAAAACGTGGCGAGCCCTTCGTTAATTTCATTTTTTGTAACAAATACGCCATCGTAATTTAGCATGTACAAGGATGGTAGTAAATCATACTCATACATGCTCCTGTCAACTTCTTGGAGACAAATTATGTCACTGTTGAATCCTACAATAAAAAATATAGTATTTAAACTTATATTTTATTGCTTTAATTTAATAAAATAATATTTTGCTTTAATACTTGAAGGAACTCTAAACAATTTTTTATCTTATTTTTTTTTAATAATGAAGCAAATAATATTTATATATGTATATCAATCATCACTTTCAAACTTAAAACATTTTTTTAAGAAATTTTGTATTGTTGATAAAATAATTTAAATAATTTAAAAATTACACGCTTGACAGATACCTATTATTTCTTTGAGTATTAATTGCTTCCTATAATCCATATCTAACGCATACTGTGGACAATATGGATACAACACATCCTTGGAAAAATCAGAATCAGCATACGTATCTGCTAATATATTGTAGGATACTATCCTAAAACTGAATTTGTTTCCTTTAATAAATATATTATATAAATAAAATGTATGAGACAATTTCTATTTTGTTGTATTATGCACAATAGGTTTTTTATCTCATTTATATATATTTTATGAGTATATAAATGTGTGTGTACCTTCTGTCCACTAATTTATGTTTTGTAAACTGATGTCGAATGTCAAATGGACATAATCCAGGACCAGCCTCCACGACATTCTTCGATTGCACTTCCATATTACAACCGGAATCCGATTCGTTTCGCGGTTCGCAGCTGATCTTTAAATTGCAACCAATGTCAGATACGTGTGGTATATACAGATATCCAGTTGCTACGTGTGTCCATGAATTTGGTTTGTTGTTAACAGCGTCGTTTTTGTACCAATTAAAGATCGATCGTTTCTTATCAGTGTACAATGACTCAAATTTAGATGGATAAGTTGGAAAACCAACTAGTACGCTTGATGGCAATGAAATATTGATGATATAAGGCGCATTTCGTTTCACTAAGAACGTCTTCTCAAAAATGACTAGTTTAAGTTCTGAGGTATCCTGTAAAAGGCTCTCGCATAATACATCGCCATCGATTTTGATATCATCCTTCAGAAGCATGATCTTTCCATTATCCACATTGTCAGTTGGCACAAAACATGTCTCTAAAGTGGCATCTTTCTTCCTTTTTCTCTCCACCTAAAGAAAAAATTGTGTTCCTCATAATACTAAATACTTTACATTCTATGTGCTACATATTTAAATTTTTTTACATTAAGTCTATATATATTTAGAAATATTAATTCTTCTAATAGAAATATATATTAGTTTAACAAATTAATTCTTTTTCGAAATTTATTATATAAAGAAACTTTATAAAATTATTTCTAATGAAAATATGTTTCTCAATTGTAGTACAACTTTTAAACTTCCTGCATTACAAGAAATATATACATATAGTAATTATAGTAAAATTCATTACGCCAATAAACTATAATTTCTTTTAATACAAATCATTTAAACTATTCATTAACTTTCTTCATTCTGCACACATCAGATAATTCATTAATTTTAATCTAATAATATTCATCGCAAATGTATACCTAACTTGTGAGTATACATTCTCCAGACGTTATTAAATTATTTCTTTAATTAGCAAAATGTTATTTAACACTCCGCGCAAATGATACAAATAAAAAGGTGAAAAAATTAATGTTTTCACCTTTTTGTTTATGATCTTGCAAACGTTTGTGTCGACTCTCTTGAGGAAGTTGCCGACGTTCTCCGTGATCTGCCTGGAGAAGTTGAACTGGCGGTCGACCCTCATCGTCTCGTTCACGTAACGAAACGAGATGTCAAACACCTCGCTACCCTTCTCGTAGCGGAGGAACGCCTCGTTCATCCTCAACACGCGTTTCGAATGCACGTGTTTGCTGCGAAACGACGTGAGGATCGACGACGGGACCAGGTGAGCTCTGCAAGCGAACAATTTAACCGCGAACGCACTTTGCATTATAACAGTTGCATTTCGTTCACCTCAAAAGTAGACGGTGCAGCTTCGATTGAGATTGATTGACTCGTCAAAAGTGAGGTTTATAAGAATTTCTGCGTGTAAATCGAAGGTAGAAGAAAGTTTTCTCCGATATCGAGGAGAATTTTTTTCAGGTAATAATTTTCTTGGCGGTGCTCTTTCTCGCGCACGTGCGAGATATCTTTATCGATAGATAATCGCGTTTATCGACTTCGTGTCGTTGATTGTTTTACGCCACGTTAGATGGAGCTAGATAGTGAAAAATTGATATTTTAAATTGATTCGAAAAAAATGAATAGTGCACAAATAATTTAGGTAGGTTAAATAAAATTTAGATTAATAAATCTTTAAATCTTTATTTTTAGAATATTTTTATTTTTTATTTGTATCTCTCTCTTTCTCTCAAATAAAATAATTATATAATAATACAACGTATCGATTTATTTTTCGTTTTCTAATTTTAATTCCTCGTGTCTTTCAGTTTTATTTGTATCCTCATTATTTTTTAATTGCTGTGCTTCTTCGCGTTTTTCAGACTTTATTTCTTCGGATTTTTCTAATTTTATTTCCTCGTTTTTTTCCGATTTTGCCTCCTCGCATTTTTTTTCCTCTTCATGTTCATCTAATTTTATTTCTTCTGATTTCTGTAGTTTGGTTTCCTCCTTTTCCGATATTGTTTCTTCATGTTCTTTTTGTAATTCATCATCCGTTCTCTCGCTTTTCTGAGATCTCGTTTCTTCGCGTTCTTCTAATTTTATTTCTTCATGTTCTTTTTCTAATTTCGTGTCATGTTTTGCAGAAGTTGTTTCTTCTTCAATCTTATTGTTAGAATTGGCCTTTTTTGTTAAGTGTTCTTTCCTTCTTCCTCTCGATCGTTCCGCTCTTGTTTGATATTTGACGGTCACGCACGACGGTACTTTTCTCTTAATCAACTAAAATAAATTTGCACATTTATTCATCGTTCGCATATATATAATTAATAAAGTTGTTTAATAATTGCTTACCGTACGAGGTAGTATTTTTTTAATCGCAACTTTTTTTTCAGTTATGGTCTTGTCCCAGGCTTGCTTCTCCTTCCACCAAATACGCTGATAATCGTTCGAGAGCAATTGTTCTATGCGAGGATGCCCTTCCCTGAGGAATTTCAATCGTAAATATATTATTTTTATAATATATAATTGATATATAAATATAACATTTGTTTATTATTTCTGTAATCTTTATTATTCTCTTTTTTTTATTTAACATTTATTATAATTAATTCTTTAATATTTTTTAGATGCTTTAGATTCGATTAAAGATATTATATATATATATATATATATATATATATTTATAATTATTATATTTTATTTAGATAGATATTAAAAGAAAATTTATAGTTTTATAATTTTTTCGACATATATCTTTTCTTGCCAAGAATTTGAGAAATATATCATGAGAATATTAATTTTCCATTATCTTGAAAAATCTATATTAATATAATATTCTATGGTTAAATATTTATAGTTTCTTTACGACATTGTGGCATATAGGCGAATCCCCCAAATGCCTTAGCAGTCATATACAGAAAAAGAAGAAGTATAGTTTCTTCATCTATGTCATCTTACATTTATCTATGCTTATTTTATTATCTACGAATTTAAATGTAATTTTAGATCGGGTCTCTTTCGATGAAAATATTCATACTTTTCGTAAGACGGCACGAATACCCTCGTCGTCGTGTAGCTCGAGGACACGATGTTGTCCGGTTGTCTCCGAGGCGCCGCGGGCGTCCATGTTTTAAATGGCCGGATGTCCGTCGCGTTCATGCGGACGATCCCGAAAAGCGCCCTCGCACGCCTATCTATGTGTCTCCGCGCGATCTATTTATTTATGGCGCGCCGCGCGCGAACGGGACTGTCCGCGATTTTAATAACGAATTTCTGTTCGGACCGGGTCAGATTTTCTCGACGGAGATTATCGCGACTGACAAGACGCAAGACCCCGAGGGACTCGACAAACGTGAATCGGGACGAGCGCAACGAGGCAACGGAGGCGGCTCTGGAATGCGAGATTTATTCATTGAGGTTATCGATATACAAATGGCAAATTTCGCGGCACGAAAAGGTATGTGTGTCGGATCAAGATAAATTGGACGAATAATATAACATTATTTGGATTTTGCAACTGCACTTGATTTTTATGTCTTCTGTAACGCGAAATAGCATGAGCGTAAATATATATAATAATATAGCTAATAATATATATATATATATAATGATATCATATTATACTGAAGGAAAGAGAGGGAGAGAGGAAAGGGAGAGAGAGTATGTGCAGTTGGGAAGATAATAGGTCTGTTTTTTTTTTCAGTTGAACTGGCTCTGCACTAGTTCAGAGTTTATCTTTTTCTATTTCACATGCATTGAAAATAAAGAGATAAATTCATCTGAACTAGCACAGCCAGTTTAGCTGAAAAGACCTCTTATATATCCTTTTCTTATTTATATGTGCTTTTCCATGCTGGTGTATTCTTGATTTTTTTCATCAACAAAACGTTATGTTTATATGATCTTATATCGTTTTAAGGATATACGTATTAGATGTCATATAGATATCTAAAAAGAATTTCTGCAAATATATATTATATAGGTATATATCTCAAATATGATAAAATCGCTAAGTATTTTATATGTTTGCAATCTTTTATTACATTATATTTATTTTTGCAAACATGTGTGGATTTTTCTTAATTATTAAATTTTAATACTAAGCAGCTCTATAATTGAGTTTGTTTGTGTGTATAATTTTATTAAAAGGTAACAAATTAAAAGTAAAAAATAAAATTTTGCTATACCTGTATCTTCAACTCTCTAACTTATTTTTCACAATAAAAAATAAGCCAAATTAAAAAAATTAATATAGAAATTGATGAAATATATAATATATAATTTATAATAATATTAATAAAATATTAATATAGTATTATATATATATATATATATATATATATATATAATATTTTATAATAATTATATTAATATTACTATTATTAATATATTCCATTATTAATATTAGTATAATTATTATATTAATTTATATACATATAAAAATATGTATTATATGTAATATATATAATTTAATTTTTTTTATTCATTTGTAATTCGAAAATTATCGATACGCATTGACGTTTCTTTCGTCAGTATTTTGATCTCATGTTTAAGTAAACAGTTCGTCTGTACACGAATTATATTTTATATTGAGAATAATTTTCGTATTAATCTGTTTCTCATGATCTGTTTTTTTTTGTATGATTTGTTTGAAATAACCGACTCGCACGCAGAAGCAATAAAAATCGCTTCTACAAGTTCCACTTCTCGCTAATCTTTCGTCGATCCTCCTGAGTTACAAGCAATGATATTATCAGCTAATTATAGAAATGCATGCCGAGCGCATTACTCGCTATATACTGTAAATAAAAGCGACTTTGGTTGCGCTCAGGCTGCGTGCGATGACCGTGAATGCCCAATTATTAATCTCATGGTTTAATACCTTCACGCATGAGTGTACGTAACTATATATCGTTGATTTCATGTCCTTTTATCCCGGGGTTAGTTAATGCCAATTTCGTTCGACGTATCACCTTGTCGATGCCATTCTGTTATTCGCAGACATAAATTCGCAATGATGTAAATCCAACGTTACTTTCGTAATACGGGATATAAATCAAAGTAATCGCGCGACAACATTTTCCAGATACTGTAGTATATTAATAGCCGTCGTTTTTTTATTACTAATTATATCTTGATATATACATAATATTATATAAGCAGTTAACATTTTTATAATTTTAAATGATATGCAAACAGAGAGAGAAAGAGAGAGAAATGGAAAGAGCAAGAAAGATATATTTGAATATTTCTTAAGAAGTTTTTTCAATTAAGAGTAAAGAAGTCTATTTATGTTAAACAAATAAGAATTATATTTATATATATATATATATATATATTTAATAATTTGATAGTAAAAAAAGTCACAATATATTTTTTCATTATCATGTAACGAATAAAGTAAAAAATGTTAAACGAAGTAGAAGTTTCTTCGAGCGAGTCGAGGGAAATTAATCGATTAAATTCTCTGCATTTATCCAATTAGCATTGCAAATCGTCATTTCTCGATCACCTAAATAATAATACGTCTCATAAATTCTCATATATGTAATTTTCGTCATTTTATACTTACATAATTGCAACTGATTCGTCGAGAAAGTCCGCGAGATCATGAGAAATGAAACCGAAAGTTAGTCCAGTGTCGAAAATTCAAGAGAGACGTATAGGATAAACGAGCGCAGAATCGATACAATCGTGAAGGACAGTCGTGTTTATGCTAATGAATTTTTTTTCACTCCGTATCGATGCTAATCGCCGTTATATGCGTATTACGTGCGTATTGCGATATTGCGTGCGCCTTTATTAAGTCGTTTGGCCAAGCCACACCCGCGGAATCAGGGACGATCTTTAAAGTCTGATGTTTTCATACCCATTGCCCGAATTCCGCAAATTGAATCGATTACATTCCAGGAAAGAAAAAAAAAGAGACGTACTTGATTTTAAGCATGATTGCCGATTAATGTTTTTTCTTGTTTTATATAATCTCTGTAAATAACTTATTCCTTTCACAGTTGCTGTAATTATCTCTCTTCTTACGTTATGCTTTAATTACATTTTCTGATTATTTTCTATTTTTTTCTTTTTTTTTTTTTTATTATACATTAAAATTCTTTATTATTTTTACATGTAGTTTGTTATAAAATATTTTTATTTATTTTTCTGAAATATTTCGACTTGTTAGAATAAGTAATTTAGAAAATTATTTCTTTTAAAAACGACCGAGTAAAATTATTTTTTAATAAAGTTAATTTTTTTAGTTGTGGTTTATATTATTCGAACAATAAAAATATAATCATAATAAATAATTGAAACGCATCTCTTATTTTTTTCATACATATAAAAGAACCTTATTTATACGCACACAATTCGGCGCAGAGGATCGAATAAAAATGAATTACATTTTCATCGAGAGAAAGAGAGAATCTCCTCTTATCCGCGTTTCATATATTATGCAAAAAAAAAAAATATCACCATCGCGACCTAAATACTATTCGCAATCACATTCGCAGACAATGCGCAGCCGGCGCATTTTTTAAATTTATCGCGACGTCGGGATCGCGAAGAGATTTCTCGGCGTAATTGCGTTCGCGTTTCTTAATTGACTTTTTTTTATCGACTTTAATCAGGTTGCACAATGTCGCGCGCGCTCTCGCGCTCACGCACCCACAAAATTTGCATAAAGGATATCACGGCCGGAATAATCTGGCCCACGGCCCGCATAATCCCGCCGACTTTCTGGCGGCTGGAGAAGACGATTGCGCTTCGTAAAACAGCTCTGATATGCAAAACCGTGTTTTCGATCGGTCCCGCGCGCGCAGATAATTCTCTCATTTAAAACTTCTCTCTCCAGACAATCTCTGCCGAGCGGTCGGCTTTTATTCCTGCCGACATCATATCACATCGAGACACAAGGTTAGTTGTTTCTTAACCCTCTTTCGGTATCGGGACCTTTACTTTAAAGGCAAGAAATTTACATTTTTTTTTTTTTTTTTTTTTACGAGCTGTATTTCTACTTTAGATACGTTGCGAAATCCAAAAGTATCTCATTGTGAAGCCATACTGGGACAAGTTTGCATGTATAGTTTTATATTGCTTCCCATATCTATTTTTCTATATTTTCTATATATTCTACCCATGTTTCCAATTTATGAAATTAATCAATTTTTTTAAGTGCAGTAATTATAAAAAAAAAAAATCGAAAGCAAATATGAAAAATGAGAAAACGAGTATATATATTAACGAGTTCTTTTTTGTAATAAAAGAAACATCGCGACTTATGTATGTATTTCATCTCCTTTCCTTCGTTATTTCGGTCAAACAGTCGGACAGGTGATTCTATATAATTTGCGGCATAAATTCAAACCCATGAGAGAGCACAAATTAAGAACAGATTTATATTAAGTATACGTTTCGTTTCGCGGCGCGTGTGAGAATAAGCCCGAAAGAAAATCGAAAGTCCGTCCGGTGCGCGATACGGCGCGGCGCCAGCTGAACTTTGCAGAGATTGAAGGAAGACTCCCAGCTTGGGGAGAGACCCGTGTTACGTGATTACTGGCAAATTGCTCATATCTGCTTAATTAACGGGAAAACGTATATCGGAGACGTATCTCTCGCGCGACCAGGTGCGCCCGGGATGCGCAGATGCGCGTAGAGACGTCTGGGATTTTTTATTTACTTCTCTGCCATTTAAACGCGTCGCGCGTGATTATGGCGAAAATCTGGGTCGGAGAAACTTTGGACCGCTCTCGTTTTCGTCCTACTCTTTTTTTCCTTCCCACTAAGTTTTTTCCCCCTTTTCAGTTTTTATCTTTCGCACAGCTTGAGCCCGCGCGAAACATCTGGAATGGCTCGATAAACAAATGATCTTCTCTCTGGTACACAGATGCGCGATCCAGAGTATTTTCTTCCCCCGAAACAAATCGAAAGAGATATTTAATATAAGGCGTGATTTACAAAATCGACGTGAAAAGAGTCGCGTATTGTAATATAAATATTTTATCGTAGAGAGTTGAAGTACCTCTAATCTCACTTCCCAGGTAGAACAGAAAACGCATAATGATATGATGACGTTACTTAAAAGTAATTTTGGAAAAAAAATTTTATTTATTACAATTATTTATTTATTCTATTGTTCATACATATTTTAACAATATTCAACAACATATCTTTTTCGAAAATTGTATAAAAAGATTATTTTATTAACTTTTAAGTGATGAATAAAATTATAATGACATCATTATGAGTTTTACGTTCTACCTGGGTTTTATCTTTGAATACTCATGAATTTATTGA